AATGGAATAAATGGAACTACAATGCAAGACCTAGAATGAAATGGTGTTTGGCCCTTGGCCACACCTCATACACGATCATAGGAACCCTATGAAAAAGAAAGAATGGAATTTCCATGCCCGATGCAAAAGTTATAAAGCAAAGACTAATGATTTTTCAATATTTTCATAATAAGCTTTAAAAGTAAAAGTGCATAGAATATAAGCTACATGTCATTAGCCTCCGGCCTCATCTCATACATGTTGAATACAAAGAAAAGAGTGTACTTATGCACACTTTACATATTTAGAATCAAAGAATACAAGTTTCATACATTAGGCTTTGAAATGATAGTTGATGCTAACATTTGCATGAAATGGAAACTGAAAAGCTAAAAGTCATCCCACTGAACAGCAAGCATCACGAACGAAGTCTTCGTATCTAATCAAATCCCCTAGTAACTTCGGGGTGAGTAAACAAGTTTACTCGTAGAGAATGAGCATGCATCGACTCAATTTCTTTAGAGATTTTTAGGACAACATGATATAGTTCAAAAGGGATCATGCCACCTAACGTCTATGTTAGATATTAGACTCAGGGATCATCCTAAGCTATCATGGAGTATAAGCAACAAGAATCATGATATATCTACATACATGAAACAAGTCAAGACTGGGATAATCCAAGAACATGATGAGAAAGATACTTGAACATAGGTTAACATGAATTGCATTATCAATACAATTAAGAAAGGTTTAGAATAATTTCATACAAAACGACAAAAGGATACTAAAATACAAGTATCACATTATTAATGGAATTGAACAAGGTTTGGAACATACCAATTAATATGACAAGAAATATACTCGAATACAAGTTAACACGAATTACATTATCAATGCAATTAACATGATTGGAGCATTCCAATTAACGCGATAGAAGTAATACACGAGATGAAGAGCAAAATATAATATCTATGCAATTAAACAAGAATGGAACATTCCATGAAACACGAAAAGAGTTATACACGAAAAGACATAATAAGGCATAATATCTATGCAAGTAAACAAGATTGGAGCATTTCACATGCACGACAAGTTTAAATCTTCAAGGAATAGCAACTTGAAATTTAAAGAGTGAAATCAACCAATGTGGAAACTCGGATATCGCCTGGATTAAAATCGTACTCTTAAGATCACTTTAAGGCTACTAACCCATGGGTACCTTTCCTCTAGTGCGCACTATAATGTAGGAGGACACTCTCCCATACTAGAACCAAGTCCTAACCATGACAATTCTTGATTAATATCCCAAGTCCCAAAATTAACAAGTTGTGCACCCAAGATTATATCAAATACAACAAATGCATTAACCACGTTTCATGCACAACCAAGATTTTGGAACACACAAGTCATGCCCTAAGTTCATCAACTATCATGGCATGTGAAATGTCAATAAATTATAGTGTGCAATTATATAGACAACAACCAAGATACATAACACATGGAATTCATTGAAGTAAATATACCACAAGTATAAGATGCATGATTTAATTACTTTCTAAGCAACACATGTGTAATTAAACCATTCCAAGACAAATGTGCATGTTTGTTAAGTATATTATTGAGATCAAGATATAAGTGTTCACGAAGCTTGATAAAAAGAATAAAGTCCATGGAATTCAAGTCAAATTCACAAGTCTAACAAGAATTCACTAACAAGGCATGATTAACTCAATAGAAGCATATAAGGAAATTTAATCTACTCAAAGATTAAATTATCAAGATTTCAAGGTAAGTCAAGGCCAAGTTCATTGTCAAGTTACAAGTCCATTACATACAAGATGCAACCATGTGAATTAAATTCCATACAAGTGAATTAATTAAATATAAGTTTGAAGACTCATCCGATTATTCTTGATTTAATACATGTGAAGGAACTTGCCAAGGAAATCATGAATACAAGGTTAGAAACTTAATCTAGCTCATGGAACAATTGAATGGATTTTAATTAATTAAAATCTCTAGATTTTAAAAGTCATCCAAATGACCTCAAATTAAAGTATGTTATACAACATGTCAAGACTTGTTTTAAAACCATGATACAAGTAAGTTCTAAGCAAGATACTACCTTGAGTATTAAACTTTAATACTAGAAAAAATATAATTTAAAGGTTTCAAAACCTAATCAAATATTTTAGATTTAATATATATAAAACTACATACCATGCACATCAAGAATTTCAAGTCAGAATTCCAACGAGATGAATAGTACACTTGGAGTAATTTAATTAATCTAATTAATTAAATATTACTAGATTTCAAAACACTTCCAATTTCTCTCAAATTCACCTATGTTGGAGAGCATGCCAAGGCCTAATATAATATGCTAACACATATTGATTTCAAGCTAGTTAAGGCCAAATAATTTAGTATTTTATTCAAGATAAATATTAAATAAAATCTTCAATACTTGTCCAAATGATCTAGATTTAATATATGTCAATCAACATATCAAGGGTAATATTCTATTATGCCACATGATTAAACAAAGCTATGGACAACCGGGAAAATTAAATCCTTCACAAGAAAAATAAATAATAAAATCCCTAGATTTTACATCCAAGCATGTAATCAAGTTGTATAAGCATCACAAGCATACAATATAACAAAAAAATAAATTATAACACCCCCTACCTCAATTTGAGATGAAAATCCCAAATCCCTACCGGAAGAAAAGTGTTCTGAATCCGCCAAAACCGAAGGGTTTTGTCGGGGACAACACGATCTACATGAATCCGAAGGAAGCCCCGTGAAAATCATAACTTAACTTCAAACACAAACTCAAGAAATGGTCAAAAATGATTTCTAATAAGGGGGAATGGTATAACACATCTAGGGGAACAAAAAACGTGAAGGCCGAAGACTTTTCACTTAGGAAAAGTAAATCAAATGAGGAGAGAGAATGTGGAAGCTCCATGGATATCCATGGCTGCTTCAGGTCGTGCAAGGGGAGTGGGGAAGATGAAAAATGAAATATCTCATCCCCCTTTTATAGAAATCTCAAAAAGTGCCCAAACGGGCCCCGCCAGGTCCGGAAAAGTGGATTTTGAGCAAACGTGCTCAAACAGAAAAACTCTGTGAATGAAAAAGATTTAAAATGAGAAAATATGAATAACGGAAGAAACGGCGTTAAAAACTGAGTCCCGAACAGAAAGTTATGCTCCGAACAAGTTCGACGGCAACCGGGTCCAGAAACTTTGAAACTGGAGAAAAACGACTAGAACGGAATTCCAAGAGTCCATGACTTGACGAAATGTGAAAATAAATCCCGTACAAGAATCCAGGCTCCAGACGAGGTATTTTGCAATAACTTTCGTTGATTGCACAGTGACCCCTACAAAAAGGGTTAACTGCGGCATGTGACATACATCAATAGCATTGGGCATGAAAGAAAAATGGTACAATGTTTTGACAAGAATGAAAAAGGGAATTTTTGGGGAGAATTTGATGAATCAGTTTTTGAGAAAAACCCGGTCGCCGCGGAATCACCAAAAGGTCGGTGTGTTAATATAGCCTAGAGGGAACTAGGGAGATTGCCCTAGCGTGGTTGAGCTATCTGGGCCCCAAATGATGTTGCGGGGGTACCAAAGGTCAGGGACAATAGCTAATCCTTCTCTCGTGTCGCTGCGGAGTCACCAAAGGGCGGGTTATATTAACAGTTTGTGAAGTGATGATGTTTTTGAAAATTGGGAGTGACATGCATAACATTGCATTCTTGGCACGAAATTTATTTGCTTTGAACTTAGAATTGATATTGTGTTTTCCCAGCTTTGCATGACCCCAAATTCCTATTGTCCTATTCTTTGTTTGGATTCACGGGGACACAAGAGGTGTGTCTTAGGCACCACCTACTGAGCAATTTTACTCACCCCTTTTATTTAACATTTTTTACATGAAACGGGAAAGAAGTGGCGGATGATATTCTATCACAGACTTAGTATGGATTAGGAGCTTATTTTGTTGTTTTTGTACTTGGGTCATTCTATTTTTGTAAGACTAAGCATAATGTGTTTTGTACGGTGACTTATGGACTTTGAATATTATAATTACACCTATGGGTTGTAACTTTTGTATAAGCTATCTAAATGTTACAAAATATGGACATTTGATATTAATCTTGTAATTTGGGACTGTAAATATGATATTTGGATGATATAGTAAGTGGTTGTACCACCATGGAGTGTATTATATGATATTTGTATTGGGACAGGTTAAAAATGCATTTAAACAAGTTGTAGAACGATTTTTAGCGGAGGTCATGCCGAATTTTTTTTTTAAAATTTTGGCATCATTTAGGGTCGTTACAAATTTGGTATCAGAGCCGAGATTCGAAAACCAGTAGGATGACGGGTAGAGGCCTACATAGGGGTTGCATGGGAAGTCATTTGCATAGTTTATGTGATTAATTGTTAAAGTGTTTTGCTATGTGCAAAAACATGCTTAACTATTTACTTGTTTACATGCTTACGTGCTTATGTGCTTATATGCTTATATTAATGTGTTCATTGCCTAGTCTTGGATGTTAAATGTTAGTATAGCATCCTTTTATGTTGAGTTGTTCACGGTTGGACCTAAGTGTTATCGTTATTGAATCGTTTTATTTGTTTTATAGAACGATGTCACGGCGTGAAGAACCCAGGGAAGTTGGCCCTAAGCAAATAAGGGGTGATGTTGGCGAGAGCTTGAGCTCCAATCTGGCGGAGCCAGTTGATGAGGACACACTTCTTAAAGACTTGATTCCCCCAAGAGTTGTCCCCACAAAGAGGGATAATGTTGAAGCACCTGTAGAAGTAGGTGAAGGTTCTTTAGCACTGGAGTTGAATCATTTGTTGTAAAGTGCCGTGAGGGCAACGATTGCGGCTCAGTCGCAGTCGGCACCACAACCTACAGTTCAAGTTGAGGAGACGTCAGCTCAGAAGTGTCTCAAGATTATTAAAGGGTTTTCTCAATTGATGCCGGTAATGTTTGAAGGTGGTGCAAATCCTATGGTAGCGGATGACTACATGGAGCAAGTTGAAACTCAATTAACTTCTATGAATGTGACGGAGGATCACTTGAAAATTATCCTAGCCACTTACAAGTTCACAAAGGATGCCAAGTTTTGGTGGAAATTGATAACAAATCAATATAAAGTTGAAGAGGTGAGTAGGGATAAATTCAAGGAGCTGTTCTATAAGAAATATTTCCCTGCCTCCAATAAGTGGGAGTTAAAGAATCAGTTTATTAGCCTTATCCAAGGCAATATGCCAGTGACAGAATATGAGAACAAGTTCACGTCTCTTTCCCGCTTTGCTCCAGAGATGGTGAGTAATGAAGTTGATAAGGTTCAGAAGTTTATCTCCGGACTTGACTACAAAATGAGGCCGTTGTTAATAGCACAGGGCATCAAGTTTTATTCTGAGGCAGTGGAAAAGGCATTAATGTTAGAGGTGGAGGCCAAAGATAAAGAAGCAAGAAGGGAACAGTGGAGGTAAAAGAAGAATATAGGACCATCTGCAGAGGGACCATCTGCAGAGGGACCTTCAGGGAAAAGGAACATGGGTGGTTCATCTTAGTTTCAGGGGCAGTAGTCTGCACGATCTGCTCCTACCACTCCGTTGCTAGCTGGGTCTGATAGGAGTGGAGTTATTTGCTTTCAGTGTCAGCAGCCTGGACATTATAAGTCCAATTGTTCCATGAGATTGACTTCAGTTTCTTCAGCTCCGAGGGCTTGTTATGGGTGTGGCCAGCAGGGCCACTTGATTCGAGACTGTCCGAGTCAAGGAGCAGGCACCGGTAGTGGCAGAGGGTCACGGCAGAGGCCGTCACAGTCGGCTACAGTTCAATTAGGATTCAGACCGCCGCCACCACCACAGCCTGCAATGTCTTCTCAGGGTTCACGACCAGCTAGGAGGGATACTCCTACTATGTCGGCACAGCAGTCTGGTGTTCAGATGAGTAGTTCACAGGTACAGGCACTGCAGGGACGTGTCTTTGCACTTGCACCGACTGATACATCTCCTGGATCTTTAGTGCTCCGAGGTATATTTCCAGTGTTTGGTTCTTGGGCCCGTGTTTTGTTTGACTCTGGTGCATCTCATTATTTCATTTCATCATTATTTGCACTTGCATCGGGGTTAGAGGTCAGTTTCATGGATCGGGAGTTGTGTGCTGATACACCAGTTGGGGTTTCAGTGTCATTGAGCCGAGTTGTGCAGGATTGTTCAATTATGATAGCTGGGCAGACTTTTATATTTAACCTTATCCTCCTGGAGATGACTAGCTTTGATGTCATTCTCGGGATGGATTGGTTAATTTCATTTCATGCTACGATCGACTGTTACAAAGGAAGGGTTACAATTTGCACTCCCGAGGGAGACTGTTTCTTTTTCGTGAGAGATCGGAGTGATTCCCACATTTCATCGTTTTATGGAGTTCGTGGATAGAGTCGTGGTGATTACTTTTTGGCTAGCCTTATAGCCGAAGAAGATGATGTTGGGAAAGAGGATTATCCTGCTGTTGTTCGTGATTTTCTGGACGTGTTTCCGAAGGATTTGATAGAGTTGCCTCCACACCGAGAAGTAGAGTTCTCTATTGATTTAATGCCAGGTACCAGGCCGATTTCTATGGCACCATATCGTATGGCACCAGTTGAATTGGAAGAATTAAAGAGGCAACTTGATGATTTGAGGATGAAAGGTTTTATCCGACCGAGTGTGTCACCGTGGGGAGCACCGGTCTTGTTTGATAAGAAGAAAGATGGTTCTTTGAGGTTGTGCAATGATTACCGGAAGTTGAATCGTGCCACCATCAAGAGTAAGTATCATTTGCCAAGGATAGATGATTTGTTTGATCAGTTGAGAGGAGCCAGTTGTTTTTCGAAGATTGACTTGAGGTTAGGCTACTATCAATTACGGGTTAGGGATGAGGATATCCCAAAGACAGCGTTTCGTACACGGTATGGACACTATGAGTTTCTTGTTATGCCTTTTGGCTTGACTAATGCGCCAGCGGCATTCATAGACTTGATGAACCGCGTCTTTCACGATTACTTGGACTAGTTTGTGGTAGTTTTCGTGGATGACATTTTCGTGTATTCACGATCTCGGGGGGAGCACGAGGTACATTTGAGTATTGTTTTACAGATTTTACGGGAGCACCAATTGCATGCCAAATATGAGAAATGTGAGTTTTGGCTACAGGAGGTGAAATTTTTGGGGCATGTTGTTTCAGAAGGTGGAGTGTCAGTAGATCCATCAAAGGTTGAAGCAGTTTTGAATTGGGAGCAACCCAATAATGTTTTTGGAATCCAGAGTTTCCTTGGCCTAGCGGGTTATTATCGGAGATTTGTAAAGGATTTCTCCCGTTTGGCAGCGCCTATGACCCGTTTAACCCGGAAAAGGATCAAGTTTGTCTGGAATGAAGCCTGTGAGTCATCTTTTTAGGAGTTGAAGACAAGATTGACTACAGCTCTAGTGTTGGCGATACCTGAGCATGGCTTAGGTTATGTAATTTATTGTAATGCTTCACGTGATGGTTTGGGATGTGTGTTGATGCAGGATGGTAGAGTAGTGGCTTATGGGTCTCGAACCCTACTCATGATTTGGAGTTAGCAGTAGTTGTATTTGCCTTGAAATGTTGGAGACATTACTTGTATGGTGAGAGATTCGAGGTGTACTCGGATCATAAAAGTCTCAAGTACCTTTTCTCCCAAAAGGACTTGAAGAATAGACAGAGAAGATGGGTTGAGTTCTTGGAGGACTATAATTTTGACTTACAGTATCATCCGGGCAAGGCAAATGTGGTAGCAGATGCCTTAAGCCGGAAATCTCGTGGAACTTTGGCTAGTTTGGCCATCCCAAAATGGAAGATGCTTAAGGATTTGGCAGAGATGGGATTGTATTGTTTTGATGACGATATTGACAGTGAGCCAGCGTTCTTGTTTAGTCTTGTTAGTCAACCTACTCTTGTCAGACGAGTGATTGAGTCGCAGAAACAAGATCCAGATTTGGATGCCCTTTACACCTTGATCTCTGGTGCTGAGACAGTGAAAGATTGGACCTTGCATGCAGATGGGGGTCTACGGTTCAGGGGTTTGTTGGTGGTTCCCACGGTTTGTCGTGAGGACGTCTTACGGGTGTTTCACACTTCCCGCTTTGCAGTTCATCCAGGTGGTACCAAGATGTATCATAATTTGAGACGTCAGTATTGATGGAACGGGATGAAGAAAGATGTTGCTCAGTTTGTGGCTAAGTACCTTACCTGTCAGCAGGTGAAAGCCAAGCATCAGAGACCAGCTGGTTTGTTGCAACCATTACCTGTAGCACAGTGGAAATAGGAACATATTGCTATGGATTTTGTGACAGGTCTTCCAAGGTCACGGAGAGGCAATGAAGCCGTATGGGTCATCATTGACAGGTTGACCAAGACGACTCACTTTTTGCCTATTAAGGCAACAGATGATGCAAAGAAGCTTGGTGTACTTTATGTGAAGGAGATTGTAAGGTTGCATGGAGTTCTAGTAACCATTGTCTCTGATAGGGATGTCAAGTTCACTTCGAAGTTCTGGGAAGGACTTCAAGCAGCGTTTGGTTCAGCATTGCATCTCAATACGGCATTCCATCCACAGACAGACGGCCAATCAGAGCGTACTATCCAGATCTTGGAGGATATGCTTAGGGCATGTGTGCTTGATTTGGGAGGTAGTTGGGAGGATCACCTTCCGCTTATTGAGTTTGCCTACAACAACAGTTATCAGGCGAGCATTCAGATGGCTCCATTTGAGGCGTTGTATGGTAGACCTTGTAGGTCTCCTGTTTGTTGAACTGAGGTGGGTGAGACCGCCGCCTTAGGACCCGAAATAGTACTCGAGACTACTGAGAAGATTAAGCTAATCAGACAAAGGTTACTTACAGCTCAGAGCCGACAGAAGAGCTATGCAGATAGGCGGAGATGACCTTTATCTTTTAAGGTGGGAGACCATGTTTTTCTACGGGTTTCTCCACGGAAGGGGTTGATGAGATTCGGGAAGAGTGGCAAGTTATCGCCACGATTCATTGGACCGCTTGAGATTTTGGACCGAGTAGGAGAGGTTACCTACAGACTTGTTTTACCAGACTTACTTTACCACCACAGATGGACAGAGTTTACAATGTTTTCCATGTGTCAATGTTACGGAAGTACGAGCTGGATCCATCTCACATTTTGAGTTGGGTTGATGTGGAAGGTGTTGAGGAATAAGACGATACCAATGGTGAAAGTTCTTTAGAGACACCACGGAGTCGAGGAGGCTACTTGGGAACTCGAACGGGAGGTTCGCTACAAGTACCCAGCGTTGTTTTCTTCCTCAGGTATGTCTTGATTTCGGGAATGAAATCTTTTAAAGTTGGGGAGAATGTAATGTTTAAGTGATTTTTATATATATGTATATTAGTGGTGGGGACCCACTCCTATTATTTACTACCACATGTGACAAAGGGTTATACAGACCCATTTTTTTTTTGTTTTCCAATCAGTGTTCTCTCTCTCTCTCGGCCAGTGTTCTTTTTCTCACTGCCTTTTTTCTTTTTCTTTTTCCTTTGCAACTTCAACCTCTGATTAATTCATCATTTCTTAGTAATTTTGAGTGCCGTTTGCGGCAAAACGGAGAGCATAGCGAGCTCTACACGTGTGTACCAGCAATTTTAGTTTTGAACAACCTAAGGAGTCCAAAAATCTTGACCCAGTTTGAGGGTTTATGGTGCAAATTGGGGGTTTTGCATGTAATAGAGGTAGGGGTCTCTAATTCACACTATCTTGTGCTTTTTTGAGTCATTCTACCATAATTGTTGTCAAACATGATCAATTTGATTTATTTACCTTTTAAATGACTTGATTTTGTATATATAGCATGTGAGTATGTGAAATTGTTGAATTGTATGAAAAATATACTTGATTATGGGATTCTCTATATTATTGTGTTGATAAATTGCTAGAAATTATTCATGAAAGTTTATAGAAATTCTCCTAAAATTATTGTAAAGTATGCTTAATATGTTAATTGTCATGCCTAAGTGTTTATTATATGGATACATGCTAAATTGTGTAGTAGAAATTTTTCTCTAATTTTTTTTGAAATGGTAAAAGCATGTGACATACATCAATAGCATTGGGCACGAAAGAAAAATGGTACAATGTTTTGATAAGAATGAAAAGGGAATTTTTGGGGAGAATTTGATGAATCGGTTTTTGAGAAAAACCCGGTCGCCGCGGAGTCACCAAAGGGCCGATGTGTTAATATAGCCTAGAGGGAATTAAGGAGATTGCCCTAGCGTGGTTGAGCTATCTGGGTCCCAAATGACGCTGCGGGGGTACCAAAGGTCAGGGACAGTAGCCAATCCTTCTCTCGTGTCGCTGCGAAGTCACCAAAGGGCGGGTTATATTAACAGTTTGTGAAATGATGATGTTTTCTTAAAATGGGGAGTGACGTGCATAACATTGCATTCATGGCACGAAA